ATAATTAAAGAAGCGTGCCCTACACGGCCAAAATAAATAGGAATGTAGACATGTTCCACTTTGTCGGATATTCTTCATAATTAAAGGGAAATTGTACTGGACTCAAGTGACGTTGTTTCCAAGGCCACTGTTAAAGATGATTATGCAGATGGAATATTTTCACCTGTAACAAATCATTTGTTTTATTTGTATAGCTTTAAATCATTAAACACATCTAGTGAAGAACTGGACATGAAAATTCACATCCAGTTGCCTAACTCTTCAACCTGGGCCATGACCTGGATGACTGAGAATCTTCATAGACAACACATTGTGTTTTTTATTATTTTAAAATTGAAAAAAAGTCATTTTTAAATTGAAATGATCTTACTGAAAACCCATATAGAAGGGGAAAAGTGAGGAATGTAGGTACAGTAGAGTCTATGTTATAACAAGATCATATTAGCAATACAAAGTATATGGCAGAATACATTATAATAATATTATTGAAAACCAAATGAAATCACACATGAGTGAGCATCTTGGCAACGGTTGAGAGAAAAACTCTTTCTTTAAGGGAAGGGAAAAAAAATTCCAGGAGACCGCAGAGGGAGAACACATGAGTGGAAGGAAGAAAGAGAGAACAGAAATACAAAACTATAATACACATGAGTACAGTCAGACATGCTGTTACAGTTTATCATTAGTGTTGGAGGCTCCTCTGGTTTAGATTGTAATAGTTAGGAATAACAGCAGGGCAGAAGTGTCAGGTCTGGATCAGGTTCTGCAGTTCTAGAGGCACAAGAACCTGTGAGGGGAAGACAGTGACAAGGAGAGAAGAAGAAGAAGGAGACAAACTAGTGGAGGTGTGATAAAGAGAGTGCTCAGTACACCATGGGAGTTCCCTCAGCAGTCTAGGCCTATAGCAGTGTAACAAAAGGAGGAGTTGAACCCATATCCCTCCAAAAAACATCTGGCAGTTTTCAAACACATATCTCCGGCTCTCAGCCAAAGTTTGATTAAGATTTGTGTTGGGTTTTTTTTCTGACAGTACCTTAAGGGTAGTATTTCTAACATGCTCCTGGTTTCTCTCCTCCCCCTCTTTCTATCCCCTCCTGTGTCTCCCCCATTCAATCTTTGCCAAAGCGACCGACTGAAACTGGGTCTGGATCAGCTGAAGATTTATTCCTGTTGCGTTTGTCCTCCCGCTGTCACAAAGTGGTTGCTCAGTGTGGGATCTAATTTGTTTTTGTGTTTTTTTAACAATAATTGCAGACCGCATTCGGCTCTTCTATGTCTTGTTAATATAATTGCAATATAATATTGACAATTACAAAATAATTGTTTTCCATTCCATTGAGGCAAAATGTGTTTGGAGAATTCAGGCTATAAATACAAAACTGACTTCTCCTGACTACAGGATAAAGATGACTTCAACGGGAAGTTACTTTCTTTTTAATTAATCTCTCACTCCTTAGTCAAGTCGTCCTCCTTTACTCCATCTCGTTTAATGTATTTAAAACAAAATAAAATAACAAGAAAATGATGGTATATCAGGTCATTTTCTTCAAACCTTGGGTTTTGAAAGCATGTATTTTACATTTAAAGTCCATTGGTCCACAAAAGGAAAATGAGGTTTAACTTGGAGCTCTTGGAGCTCTCAGGAAAATGAGGTTTAACTTGGAGCTCTCCAAGCCTGATTCAGGACACACACGGACTACACATCCGTGTGACTGCACTCACTCTCCCCTCAACCTCCTAACTCACTCACCAACACACACTCAGAGGAGCTAATTAAGGTTTTAATATGCAAATGTGATTTGCCGTAAATTATCCAGCTGGCAAATAAACCTGTTTACGCCTGAAAATTAATCAGAAGTATATCAAGGAGTGTGTTTCTATGGTGGCTGTTGTTGTTGTGGCTGGAAAAAAACAAGAAATTACACCCCCACCCCCAACTCTGCAGACCCTCATCCAGGTTATTTTTGCCGAGGTACGTATTAGGGCTAAAGTCAACCTTGAACGAGAGATCATGTCTTCCATTCTGACTGTGTAACAAGGGTCGCCGTAGTTGTTTATATAAGGACGGTGTGTCGTTGGACAGCAAGTCTCAGTTCTATTTAGGAAGGAAATTGAACTGGCATGTCGTGTGCGCCCCAGGACAGATGTGTGTGGTACCTGGTACCGTTAGTCAGTGTGTAGAGCTGCTCACTGTATCAACGCAAACATCTAATCTCAAAACTGGTTTTGGTATGAAACTCAACCCAATAAAAGCAGTCGTATCATATTTGCCACACAAGATTCTGAAAGAAAAACAACAACCCTGATCTGATACCTAAGACCAAATATTTAACTGAACTTCATGTGACGTGGGACACTGTCGTCTCAGCGACGGCAGCTCACGACGTGCAGGAAGAAAACAACAGTATCAGATTGATATGGTTCCATAGTGTAGCGGTTAGCACGCCATGAAAGCAAAGAGCACAGAGTTCTGGGTTCCATTCCCAGAGGAACCACATATCTCTAATGATGCTTCCCATGTGGCAGCCTGTGAGTTGCAACCATGTACTTAATGGTGCCCCCTGTGGCTGCTTGTGTTAGTTGCAAAGACTCCATACACTGTAAATTTCCCCATTGTGGGACGAATAAGGGACTCAGTTATTATTATTATTATGTCAGTATTGGTAGATACTCTGAGTTGCAGTATTGACATCGGATATGAAAAAGTTGTATAAATTCGTCCCCAGTAGAAATACTACAAGAGTAATGTTTTTGATTTCAAACTGTTGGTTCGCAAATAGGCGGCTTGCAGGCCGGGTGCTTTTTGTGGGCCATCATTTGAAGGCCACTGATCTAGAGGATGTCCTGATCATTCACAGTGAAATGGACAAATCATTCCATGATCCTCTTAATGAATGATTCCAAGAATTAAAAACATATTTAATATAAAAACATAATGGAGGTAAGGGTCAAAATATGTTTTAACATCAACACCTAAACATCAAAGTTATATGTTGTTCTTTTGACTTCATTAATAAAAAAAATAAAAAAAATCAAGTTGATGAACTGACTGCTCACTCTCTGGCACATATACAGACACCCGTACACACTTAGACTTGATTGACAGGCCACATTAAGGCTAATCTCTCCAGAGTTTAAGTTTGACTTTACACTGGCCAAATCCAAATCTCTTCATATAAACATCAACATGTGAACGTTCCTGTCTTTTCCGTCTATCATCCGACCTGTGACGAGGAACGCAACGGGCCACAAATATCAGGTATATTCCAGGTGTTGACACATCTCTGATTAGGTGTGTAAACAGTTCCACCTAGCTACACTGAAAACTTGCCCCTTGGAAAGGCTGATTTCCACTGAGGGTGGGAATGCATGAATGTTTTATTGCGGTAAATAATTAATAATTTATTACAAACAGGCCAGTGATCAAATGGAGCCTCATGGCAACAGACATGAAAAATCCCACTTTTGTAAACAAAGAGAAGAGGACCCAGATTTCCTCCACTCTTGCTACCCCATGCACTCCCCGCCCCCCATGTTGCTCTTATGCCACACACATAAAATGCAAATGTACTGACATACATCAACAACTGTCAAAACACACAGAAAAAAAAAAGAGCAGCCGTAACCCCTCGCCATTAGTCAGTCCATCGCATTCACACTCACACTTATTTTCAGTTGCCAGAATAATATTTTTCATGTATTCCGTGGCAACCCCAGAAGTAAGACTGAGTGGGATACATTTGATCTGGCCACCCGCTGTTTCCTGATGGAAAGATAAGCTTCCAACACTTGTCTCCCACCTGAATTTGCCTAGGCAACTCCTAGCTGGGAGATTTTATAACCTGACAAATAGCTTTATTACCATTCTGTTCGAATGTCCGTTCGCTCTAACGTCCAGTAAAGGTAAAAATGCTGACCTTGGCTCTCAGGGGCCGGGAGTCATATTTAGAAAAAAAAAAGGTTTTTGGTGCATACGCTTCTCCTGATATGAACAGAAAAAAAAATGACAAAAATGGAGACAGAAATGTATTTGCCTGTTTTGATCACACACACACACATGCACGCACACACATTAACAAAATTGCCAGCACTCGTAAACACCATTTTAAGGAATCTATCCGATCTCGCCTTTTGCCTTAAGCCAGAATAGATATTTTAATAAAAATCTGATTAACACCCTGTAAACAACATGTAGAAAACAAGAAAAAAGCTGCAAACAAGAATCAAAACAACTTTGGAATCTGTGTACAGATCACCTTCAGAGTTAATTTTTAAGTAAGCATCCTATTCCTTGGAGCTTTTAATGAATGCTTTAATATGCAAATAAGTCAGCAGGGATAAAATCATGACAAACAGATGGCAAGTGTGGGTATTTATTTTGTGAATGCAGCCGGGGCATTTATTAAACTTAATGCATATTTTTACTCCGCAGCCATTAAACAGAAAATATCATCACAGATGAACTGCTGCACGAATAAATTGTGTGCACATTGATTCATAATGACGTCATTAATATTCACATAATCGCAATTAGAAGTTTCTACAAGCTGACTTCCCATACAGGCCACACCAGAACTACTATGTATGCATCTGCTGTCAACACCACACCACTGTATAACAGCAAAGAAAAGAAGTATAGAGTATAGAGTATAGAGTATAGAGTATAGAGTATAGAGTATAGAGTATAGAGTATAGAGTACTTCAATGGCTGTCTGAGGTTATTTATTTTTGTAAAGATTTATAAATTAGTCCTCTGGTGTATTCTTTTTAAAAGAGGACCTGCGACCATCAATATAAAGACAAAACTATAAAACACCAACCATTTGACACAGATGCACACATGTGCATATCGATATTGGTACTGGTATCGGAAAAGATTGTCAAAAAAGTATTAAATCAAAGATTTTGTGTATACATTTACTATGAATCCCCTCATTTGAACCGTTCTTAAATTTGTTTTGAATGATTTAAGGCAAACGTAGAGGAGGAGGAGCTCATCTTCACCTAAATGAAACATTTCCCTGGGTGATTTTGAGGTTGTTTTGCCTCTCTGTCTGTTTCTGTGCTTTAATATTTTTAAGGTAATGTGACATTTGACCTCTTGTTTTTTTTTTAGATATTGTAGTAAATGCCCCTACCTGTTCTTCCAGGGGGACATTGTCCAAATCCAAATTAGCGAGGGATTGGTTGATCTTCATGGCCAGACACAAGGCCATCAGTCCCCCGACCTTCACGTTATTCTGACGGAGGTCCAGACACTGAATGTAATGGTTCTCTGCAAGAAACTCAGCCAATGCCACAGCACCTTCACAGAAAACAAAAACACATAAAACAGGATGTTTGTAAATGATATCTTGTGGTAAAGAAAAAAAAAACTTATAAAGTCATAATTTTAAAACACAAAGGCAGAACTTCCAAAGTTCATACTACAAGACTAATAATTAAACCAGCAAATCAGGGGATTCCCTCCTGAGATAAGAGCTCTGACCATTGCCCGTCATGTGGCCTCTTACAGTTACACAAATGGAACAAAACCTTGAATGAACTGACTGTTTTAATGAGAAAAACAAATGTGAAATGAACTCGTCTGTATAATTGGGGGAACAAATAATACAAATTGTTGTACCTTCACAGGTGATGCTGTTCTGGGCCAGACATAGCTTTAGCAACGAGCAGTTCATCATTAAAGGTGACCGGATCAGCTGTATGCCCTCGTCTCCAATCAAGTTCTCAGATAGATCCAGGACCTGTAGAACCTTCAGCACCGGCTGCAAAGACATGCATTGTATTAGGTTATATTCATTGTATACTGTATATATATATACTTATATATATTTATATAAATATTTATACAGTGGTCCGTCGTCTATTGCGGATGTTACGTAATACGCAAAAAAACGCTAAGTAGAAACGCGTCAGTTATTATATTATTTACGTATACATTAACCCTTTAATATATACATATATATAGGGTGTAAAATATGGCAAAAAAATTTACGTAACTTTCTTGGTTACCAGTACATAGGGGTTATTTCTTGCAATACACTATGTATGTTATTTAATTTTTTTTTTACAATTTTTTTTACTGTTTTTTATGAGTCTAGAAAATTTATTTTATCACAAAAATAATGAAAATATTGGAAATTTAAACATTTTTGTATACCACAAAAACCCACGATAGAGCGAAAAATCCACAATACAAGAATGCATTTAAAATATTAAAAACCCGCGATGCACTGAGGGCACGACAGTCGACCCGTTATACAGTGAGTGACGACTGTGTATGTATATATAAATATATAAATATATATAAATATGCCTGTTTTACATTGACTGCGTTAAGGCTTAAATGTTTCACAGCAGCATCACATTCACTTTTACTATCAAACGATGACAATTATTCATGTTTAGAATGTTTTCCGTCATGGTAGAAGCTCTGAACCCTTGCCTCCACTCTCCAGGGCCACATTAGCATGGAAGCACGATTAGCTGGTGCATGTCGCTCGGGGTCCCTGCGACACGAGGGACCCATGTTGCTCAACAGCATGAAGAGAAAGCCGCCGCCCACTCCCTGGTCGTCCCCCTTCTTTTCACCACCCGTGTTAAACTTCTCCGGTCACTGTTTTGAGGATGAGTGCGTGGGCGGGAAGAAAGCCAGGAAAGAACAGATTCAGAGAGCGTCTTCTACCCAGTTAATTCACAGAGCCAACACGCTCAAGAACCATCGCCACCTCGTTTTCATCCCGCCTCACTGAGCTGCAGCACACAGAGGCGCTGGCACGACCAATGATTGGCAAGAATGTTCTTCGCTGAGAAGCAGAGGGAGGAAGAGCATCTTGAATGGCTATGCACAAGGGATAATAGCAGACAATTAAAGAGGTGACAGCGTGGTTGAGGGTGTGCAAGAGTCAAGCATGGTTGAAGCCTGTCAAACGGAAAACCAGGGGAGGGCTGGAGTGAGAAGTTTGAGGGTGGTGGAGGGAAGTGTGAAACCACCCGACACACAGTAAGCTTTTACACATAACATGCTGCCCTGGGGGTGGGGGGATGGGGAGGATTTTGTGTGTGTATGTGTGTGTGTGTGTGTGTGTGTGGGAGGGAGGGGGTATGAGATTAAAGCAGAGACACAAAATATGGACTCCGTATGTGATGATAAAAAACATTTGTTTAAAATTAATCAGCCAAAAAACGAGTCAGGATTCATTTTTAGAGCTTCGAGGATCACACAGGGTGGACCAGGTTGATGGACAGGTGTGTGTGTGTGAGGCCTTTGGTCTGTATCAGGGGTTCTTAACCTGGGGTTCGGTGAGTCAGTCTCAGGGGTTCGGCGGAGGACAAGACACACACCTGACTCATATGATTCGTAATGACACGCCCCCCGCTTGACCATCACCGAAGTGTTCAGTGAATGCGCATATGAAACTGGTGGGTTTCAGTACCTCCAACAAGGTTAACAACCACTGGTCTATATGGTATATATGTGGAATTTGAGCGTCTGAGCTTTTCAGGTGGCATTGTGCCGCCACGTCCAATTAGCGACAGGTTTCTCCTGACGTCACTTCCCTGAAGCTGAGCAGAGATGGAGGGAATCTCTCTGTCTGAGAAGCCACTGGAGGGAAACCTTATCATTGCCGTTTGTGGGCACCAACAGCGATGCTGCCTTTTATTGGTGCATCAGTGTTAACTTTCTGACCCCTTGACCTCCTGAACCATCGTTGTCTAAAATGGCTGATTCAGCGTTGTTGAAGTGTCAATACCATGAGATCTTGCTCCAGCGGAGGGCGCTGCAGCTTACCAATTGACGCTTTTTCAAATATTATTAGGAAATATATTCCAAATGTGCCCAACGATGAAGGTCTCGGTGGTACTCACCAGAGTCTGGGACAGGGAGAGCATGCCCTCTACAGTGATCTGGTTTCTCCGCAGGAGTAACACCTCCAGACCTGCTGTCTGCCACCTCAGACCATCACAGAGCTCCGCGAAACCTGGGTGTTAGATAATAATCGTCAACGTTTCTGAAGGATTCTCTGGGTCTTAGTCTGGATTCCATTTAGAACAGCTACTGTGTGTTTAAAGCAACCCAGAACAACTGGGTTCATTAAAGGAATTATATGTCACAATATTTCCATTAAACACAGCAAAGAGTTACACACCTGTCTGTAAACCTGCTCTGGTTTTGGCTTAAATTTGTTTTCCAATTTGCAGCTATTTATCACATATATATATTTAGTTGCTGTATTGGATCTTTAGTAGATTTGGGAATAGATGATTTTATATCAATCACTATCATGTAAATATAAAAACAATGTATGTGATGTCATTAATTATTTCGATTTTCTAGCTGTTGCCATTTGAATTAGACAATTTTATTTAAATGATATTTAAATGATCCACAAAAGACATTCAACAAAGGACAGACCAAGGATTTTTGTAAACCAAAAAACAATAGTAAGGTGAGGTATTTCTGACCGCAGACATTTGAACTGATACATCGTTGTTATCACCTGCATCTGCCAGTGTGTTGTTGCTGAGCTCCATAGTCTTTAAAGTGGAATTGTAACGCAGCAGGTCCCCGAGCTGCAGTGCATCCTGGTAGCTGTTCAGCAGATTGTTGGTGAGGTGGAGCTCCTGCAGAGTCCTGTTCAACTTCAGTGCACTAACTGTGGACAACAAAACAAGGAGGGACAAGATGTCAAATCTAAAAGATTTGATTAAGAACTGCTAACTGAAGACAGTTCTCCACTTTGGCTGAGGGTTTGGACCACCAGACATCACACCAACTCCAGCGACTCAAGTGTCGATCAGCAGGTTGAAGAAGAGTTATATGACCCAGAATGACTCGGTGGGACACAGTAGAAAATACTGATTGTCCCTTTGGTTGAAACAGAAGTGAAACGTCAGTTAATGGTAAAGAGGAGAAGAGTCACACACACGGAGCAGCGGTGGCCCACTGCGTCGATGATCTGCACAGAGCGATCTCTGAATAAGCAGCAGAAGAACAGTCAGTGGCAGATTGAAAGAATGGCGCGCACACCATGCAGCGAAGATGCTCGCCGCAGATGAGGCGTGGACGATGAGTGCAGGTGAAGCGGGGTCAGAGAAGACACCTGCCAGACAGCGGAGAGAACAGACAGGAGACACGGAGCAACGAGGAAAACTAGTTGTCAGATCAGATCAGATGAGAAGCGGGTCAGGAACAGCAGAGTTAGCAGTGTCTGTGTGAATGAACAGCCAAAGGAAATGAACCAGTGGACAACACTCAGACTCTGTCTGTGACACGGTGATGGCACATTTGTATGGAACCAATTATTATGTTGAAGTACATCATTATTTGTCTGTGTTGTAGTGATTTGCCAAAAAAGGTAATCAAATTGAAAAAACAACAACTGGTATCACCCATCACTATCTTGTTGCTTTTGCTACCCACATGTCTGGTTCGATACCATGGCTTTGGTTATATCATTATGATTAATCATAATTTATTATGATTAATCATAATGTTCCTAGATGAAATACCATTCTTAAATATGAAACATTTTCTTTCGTATATTGCTGGAATATACAAATGGATGTGTGCGTTTCACAGGTTAGTTATTTGTGACTATTTCAAATGATGGACTGTTACTGTGGAGAAATATTGGGAAACATATGAACACCTAAAAATCTTACCAAAAATACAGCATGTAGCAACTATCTATGTAACGACTTTGTACTAGAGCAGTGGTTCTCAAACTGTGGTACGCGTACCACCAGTGGTACAATAGCGCTATCTGGTGGTACGTGGGCAAAATTCATATTTTCACATTTACATTTACAAATCTGAAACATAACATACACAATGAATACAACATTTAAACTAAACCTCTTTGTAAACCTCTCTCCTGTGGTGGAAGCTAACAGTGAAGGCCTCTGCTGCTGTATTCTAATGTTGGTCATCATGGTGGGACTCAGAAAGATCAGTGTTTTCTCAGGTGGGACAGAGTAGAAAAAGCTGGAGATCCACTGTGTTAGGGCAACAATCAGTGAATGGACGGTGAGAGTCCTGGAGTAACAGTTCATGTCATTCTGTCCTTACAATAAAGTATGTTCAAATTTTTATCAGATAAATCTTCACAAAAATAATGAAGCTTTATTTTGAAAATAACTCCAAATTCCAAACCTTTTCTTTTTTGACCAGTCTGTCACAATGAAGGTCTTTGTTGATGCTGTGCATGTGTGTATGTGTATGTGTGTGTGTGTGTGTGTGTGTGAGTGTGCATGTGCATTTGGGTGACAGCTACAAGCTGTCGTAGATGTGTGAAGTGGTGCATAAAGTGACAGGTAAGAGATTAGCCCTCTAATCTGGGTCTAGACCTGCAGAGATGGTCAAAGATCAAATCTGGTCCTGCTGGCCGCAGGACACACGCAATCACCTCCACTCACACACAAACACATACACACGTGTACAGCCTTAAACCCGTGTGTGTGTGTGTGTGTGTGCGTGCATCATACCAAGTCTGTAAAGCGGCATGCCACTGAGCTGGGCGTTGTGAAGGTGCAGCGTTGTGAGCCGGCTGGTCAGCAGAGCTTTGGACAGAGACAGGGCTGGGTAGTCCACCATGGGCATGTTGGAGGCGTCCAGTCGAGACAAACGCATACTCTGAAACACACAGTTAGATAAGTCCAAGTAACTAAAGGAAACGTAAGATAAAATAATCAGCCTGATCAAGAACACTCTCCAGACCTGACCTAATCCCTGAAGGATGTGGTGTCAAATACACAGAACTACTGTGGAGCCAATCAGAAGGCCTGTTTGACTGGGTTTCAATAGTTTCTAATGCTGTTTAGATGCAATGCTATGAAGTGCTTATTTATTCAGGAGGCGAGATGAAAACTGTTTATCATCACACTTTTGGGAGTTATGGTTCTTGGAGGCTGATCACATATGTTTGATTTCACTGCCTTTATAGATTGATTTCCATCAACAGTTGAACCAAACAGCAAGATTTTGGTTTGGCTGAGCAATTTCCCCCCCGATAACATCTTCTTATGTTAAACAAATATAAAATAAATGAATAATGAAGTAAGAAAATACATTCTAAAGGTGGATGTTTCGTCCAGCCGTTGGTTGAGGTGGAAGTGTCCTTTAACCATTATCTGACTGATAGCGAGTATCGGATCGAGCCATTTCTACACAAATATGCTATAACAAGCATGTATGAAGGAAATACATCAGCATTGGTTCATTTTATCAACCATTAATTTATCGATCCCTTTAAATAGATCAGTGAGTAGGGAGCCAATCCTAGCTGACGCTAGCTAAAGCTGAAGTTGACCACGGACAGTTCACCAGTCCAATATCTCCGTCATCAGCAACAACGTTACCTTCTGTGATGGATGTGATGGAAACATACAAAACAACATTCTATTCCTCTGTGTCAGCCAACCTGCTTAATCAAATGAGCCAGCGCCCTCCAACCAGATGTTCCCATATTCCTGTTGTCAGAAATGTCAAGATGGCTTGTCGATTCATAGTACGAAATCATATCCAGCAAAGATGAAGCTCCCTGGAAAAAAAAAGGTAAAGGTAGAAAGATGAAAAACGCTAGGCCGTAGATTTAAAAGCAGTGTTATGCCATGTAGTCCTTTTTGGAGGGGGAAACAGACTCTAATCTGATACAGGGTACAAGCCTCAATATGAAACGCTGTTGGAATTGGAAGATGACAGAATATAAGTTTTTCTCATAAAACTCACATTTTCTTCCAGTTGTGCTGCCTGCAGATTGATGAAATCTAAGCGCAGAGATTTCAGGACGACTTCCAGAGCTTCGCAGGAGCGATGGTCTAATCGCTCACCTTGATAGAGGCAGGCAATCAACGGGAGATGATTGGGAGACAAAATTGCACAATTCTTAATGTGCTTTTTTCCCTTTGACTTATTTTGTCAGAAACCGCGATGAAAACAACCTCCTTGATAGACAACTTGCTTCTGTGTGTGTGTGTGTGTGAGAGAGGGAAAGCAGCCCACACACGCACTGTGTGGGCTGCTTTCAAATAAAATCAGACTTAATCAGAGGGAAGGTACGAACATCTGCAGTCAGAAACAATTCGAATAATGGTTCTAATACTGGACCTACACAAAAAGCTCCTGATTGAGTGGACATGATTACTGACTTGTATCGAGCAAACTCATAATTAATACAGAAAAAGTTCATTTATTATTTTTTTCAAAAAAATAAAATGTAAAATGCTCGTGGCGTAGGATTCCAATGTCCTGGGGCTTTGAACTGCCCTTGTATTACCATAGGTTCTGTGGCACAGCTGGACCTGCAGGCTGGGTAGACTGCAGATGGAAAGTAATGAATTACTGTAACTGAGTAAATGATTTACAGTACATCATATGTGGGTACTTTATACTATGTATATAAATATATAGAGATCATATATGTATATTATATATATATAATTTAGATATGATGTATGTAAGTAAGTAAGTAAGTGTAAGTACTATATACAGTATGTAAGTAAGTACAAGTAGGTTGTTATTATATATATATATATATATATATATATGTATATATATATATATATATTGAATGGAGAAAGTTGGGTTGATCAAATCTGTTGACTTCTACTCCCTCCTTTTCAGTTACATCTGACAAGGAATCATTGAATCAGCCCTTCTGCGTAATATTGCCTAAGAATTATGATGTAATATTGTCTATTTTCTATTGTTATATATATATATACATACATCATGGTCAGCCTCTGAAGAACTGAGAGACTGTAATAATTGTGTGATTGCTCAAAAGAAGGCATACAACATAGCATTAATTAGTAAGGATGGACTGAGGTGTTCAGCTTACCTTTGAGATCCAGACATTTCACACTGCCACCTACACATGCACCCTGCTGAGAAGGAGAGAGGGAGAGACGACGAGAGAGGACTGGTGGGTGGAAGGCGTGGAAACACACACACACACACACGCGCGTTTGGCACCAGCAGCACCCAGTCCTCCCTCTCAGCTCTCTTCGCTGCGTGGCCTCTACATCCATGCCAGTCTGATCAGGAAAGCTTATTGGACACCAGAGCATAAATGATACATTTCTCACAGTTAACCGCTGTCGTTGATGGTGACATGGCTTCCTAATTAACCAGTGTATAATAATTAGAAACAGCTGGTCATCAGTTGATGTGTTCATTTGCCAGAGCCACTAAATCTAATTTGACTGCATCAATCACCTGAGGTGGCACAATGTGTAGATGCTAGAAAACACTTTTATTTTTTCTACTGACATGTGAAACTGGGGGAGCAAAGATGGATTAACCAGCTTAGCATAGTCATATTATTGTTATTATTACTATTGTTATTTTTTTATTATAATTTATATTATTATTGTTGTTGTTGTTAATATTATTATTAATGATGATAATAATAATTACTACTATTATTTAAGATAATAAGAATTACAAGAATAGCATTTCAGTTATTATTCTTTACATTTCTTCGGCAATCCAGGTACAGAAATTACATTTATAATAATATGAATACAAATATTAACAGTAATATGTTTATACTACTACTACTACTACTAATAATAATAATAAAAATTATAATACCATAGTAATTCTAATAGAAACAGTAATAATTGTTGTTGTTGTTCTTCTTATTGTTATTATTACTAAAGATGACAATAGGAACAAGAATAATGTACTTTTTGTTATTATTATTGTTAACATTTGTGTAGGTTATACCCACAAAGGCATTGGAATAATTAAAAATATAAATATTTACCTGCTCATTTTTTCATAATAAAAACAATTGCTTCAGATCTAAAATAACGCCTTTGTTGATTTTTAACACGCACTGGAATTGAATACGACAACAAATGGACGGGGTCAGACGACGAACAGTAGCAGACAAAGAAGAGTACACGAGCAGTTCCACCGTATATGTGTACTTTTGAAAACCACTGCGTGAGCCACACTTTCATCCAACAAGCATGGGCTGCCTGCTTTTTTTTTGTTTTTTTGTATATACAATCTTTTTATAAAATTTAAATGGCTTTACCCACAATGCAATGCATGAACCCTCAAAAATGTAAGAAAATGTCCATGTGTTTTTTCTCTCATATTTCATCTCTTGTATTACATTAATGAATATTATTTGAATTTTAATTGACCACTCACAGCAATTGTTCTCTAATCAGGACAACAACATTATGATGTGAATCGTAGTCAGTAAAGTCACACTACTGGAATATTTGTTTTGGAGAAAAAAAAGGAGTCTTTTGTACATTTTTTTAAATGTACAACTTCTTTCTTTATGTTCAATAAATGCTTTACACTCTCTTCAATACAACCTGAATACACTGCATATATATGAAGCACACGTTTCCTTTCAGTGACCGTTGTTTTCCCAGGTGTGCTCCATAACCACATTAGTGAAAACTGTGGAACAGCTTCGTCTGCACTGACAACTGATCTGCCGCTGAACTGTGTTCGTGAGCCGCACCTTCTCTCATCGCTAAGTGTGACTTATTGTTGAAAAAAAAATCCTGCAGGGTAAAAATATTTTTGGACTGCTTTAGCACAAAAGGAGCGAGAGAGGAATACAGAGGCAGAGAGAGAGAGTGACGGTGGAGTGGGGGAGAGGAGTGGGGGAGGGGGGTCTATTATGCATTCTAGCTGAAAGAATAAAAACCATAAATGGGATGTTAATTGCGCTGTTTATAGATTAGAGAATTTTACCTTTAGCTTGTGTTTTTTTTTTTTTTTTTGCTGAAACAAAATAGAAGAATAGAAGAAAAATGGAAGAATTGTTGTACACACACACATATATACACACACATTGAAATTTGTCTTCTGCCCATCAATCAACGTCTCTATTTATCACTTAATAAAATCAGATAATAGATTTCTATGTATATGTGTAATTATATGTTTCCTTCTTTGTGAATGTTTTTGTGGATAAAGCCTGAAGACGGACTCCTTTTACAATCACAGTTTGTCTGTAAATATCACTGTAGTATAAGGTGTTAAGACTACTGGAGAGAGAGAGAGAGAGAGAGAGAGAGAGGATGACTGTTTTCTTGTCAGATGAATGTGATTATGTTTATTCCCTCTCTGCCAACTGCTGCCTCATGGTGAAAGACGGAAACTGGAGACACCAGCTGCCACATCGATTGATGTGTCCGAAGGGAAAACAGAACAAATGCAAAAAAAAAAAAGAAATAAGGAAAGCTTTCTCTCTCTCTCTCTCCTTCTCTATTTCACACACACACACACACACACACTGAAGAATTCCAGCCTGATCAAATGAACTCAGGGGTGGCTCGTGTCAGTGAGGACATCCGGTGAAAATCCTCCTCCCCATCACTCTGCAGTTCAGTATGTTTTGCGGCTCTGATTGGTGGTTTTCCTTACAGCACTTTTTTTTATTATCATACAATACTGGCTAAATATTAAAAATGATTTAACCTTTTATTAAAGATGTACCATTCCTTTAGAAGCAATTCAGCAATTCAGGTTTCAGTGTTGAAGAGCAAAAGTAAAATGTGTAACGTTGTGTCTAATTTTGAGGTAAAAAAAACCACAGATGTGTGTTGGATCATAACGTTTTCCTTTTAAGTGGTGTTTAAAGGAGGTTAAAATCGGAAGACGCACACAAGACAGAGCTACGATATAACTGTGTCTATATATGTATATACTGTATGTTTATATATACATATATATATATCATATATATATAAATATATATATGGATTATTCTAATCCCAGTTAATCACACGTCTCACACCTTAGATTAAGTGTTTTAACAGGTCATGTTTTTTTTTTATTAAGAATTAATTTTTTTATTAAATCAATTATCAATTTTATTCAAATTTCTTTGTGTGTGCATAAATGCTACTCCATAGTTTCAGTCGTTTTGAAGGAAAATATAAAGCATTAAAAAAAACCCAAAATGACTGTTCATAAATTATAAATGAATTTATTTAGATTTGTATTCAGTTGTCTTTGTATCCAATACTGTAAATATATCGATGTAACTGTTTTCATGGTCATAAAAACATCTAAAACATAGTTCCAATTTTGGAAAATGAATGTAGAGGTAGATGCTTTAAAAATGAGAATATTATTTTTATATGTGGTTTATTTTGGGTCGTAGAGCAACTGGTGTTTGAGTCTGTAAAATCTATTACCCACAAACGCTCTCATACTGCTGGTGTGAGCACTGGGCCATTTAAATCCAATTTAGACTAACAGTGCACCACCCACAGTGCACCCACCCACAAGCCTCTCACTTTAACTGCCACTGCTCCAATTTAATTAGAGCCAGACAATGCAAAAGAGACTTTTTTATACTTTTGAACAGTCTTTTCCTTCAGTTTGTGTGCTGTTCACCCCCCCAAAAAACACATTTTTAGGTGGACGTTTTAGCAGAAGCAACAATGTTCAAAGTCTGACCCAGCAGTTTTGGGAGATCATCCCTAAAATTTGAGATGTTGTCCAGCTTGTTGGTATGATCCAAGTTCCACAGACTCTTTAATTGGTGTAACTTATTTCTGTTGGCTGTGAGAAAAGTAGAGCAGGACGTCATGCCTACACCGTGACTGCTTTCTTTCAGACTACTTTCATGTGTCAATCACACGTTCACCTATCATCCACTACGCCGACAGAGAACGTTCATGAATAAAACCAACAATAAGAAAGGAAAGTGCCACTTTCGCAGGAATGTCTGCACGACTGACTGAATCCACTGGAAGCTGATGAGAGTGTTTTGCATTTAGTGCCAGACTCTTTCCTTGGGGGTGAATATAATGTACAGCAGTGTAGCTCATGTGAAAAACATATCCTTTTGGTCTGTTATTAATGATGTACATGTAGATGTTATTCAGTATTTTTGAATCAAGACTATTGAAAATACAATTTTGTGACATCCCATACAACCGATACAATAAAAATATATTTCTGTGGTGTACAGTAGTGATGATACACTGTAAAACTTCAATCATATTGTGCCATACAGCTACATGCATTTAATCAGTACCCAAACATATAATGTATACATAAAGTATGTTTAGTTTATATGGGTAAATATATATTTAACATTTGCAATGTAGGTAGATCACTTTAGCCTTGTCATTTGAAAAAGAAAATGCAAAAAAAAAAAAAAAAATCATTGTGACACAGCACACAACCAAATGTGACCTCTGTTTTTAAGCTTTCTGTGCCCAGCCAAATGTGACCTCTGTTTTTAAGCTTTATGTGCCCAGGGTAACTTGGCAGTGGGTGGACTCAAACCTTAAACCTTCCAGACCCAACTCTGTTTCCTTAACCACTAAGCCACCACTGCCCGTACTGAATAGTAGCTTATAAACCAAAACAGTGTACAGAAGAATAGCAGCAAAGTTGAAAGGTCATGTTTATAAGACAGTGGTGAGACCTGCTATGATGTCTGGTTTAGACAGTGACAAAAGGCTGAGTTGGTGGAGGCAGAGATGTCAATGCTGAGATCTTCACTGGCAGTGACCAAGATGGAAGCACTAAACACACTTAAAACAGCTAAGCACTCAATCTAAGCAGTATGACTATTGTGGATGTATAAGGCAGCGTACCTGAAGCTGTTGAAGCACATGTACTAGTGGTTGGACCTGATGCCTGCTGCAGCTCTGCAGGTAGGCTGTCGTCACCTCCGTCAAGGTAAGGCAGCTGTTGGCTGAAAAAAATAAAGCGACACAATCCTTAACTGCATGTCAGCAAACCGACGTTTGTGTTTGTGTGAGTCTGTGTGGAGAACGTTGTACTTCCAACATTGCAAAATATTGTAAGTCATCTTGAAATTTAGTTTTTGCTTTTGAACACAACAGGAAGTCACGACTTAGATGTTATTGTAAGATGTACAGTGGTCCCTCTTCTATCGAGGTAGTTGCGTGCCAAGACTCTCGCGAGATCGCAATAAAAAAATTCTGTGATGTACTGATGGAGTGATAGGAGAACCGCGATATAGAGAGGGACCACTGTAAACCTATGATCACTTCTAGCAACTTGCTTGTGGTCATTTATTATGTTTGCCCTCAGCTGCTGGAAGTGTTTGTTTACAGATTTGGTTTTACTTCTATTCCTGATAACTAAATTAATCAGTGGCCTAAAAAAATTAAAAGGAAAAGAACATGATGAGAAACATTTGTGAGTCATTTGTTCCGTAGTTGTAAACAGAAACTTACCCTTGTGGTCACTGCCCCTGTGCTCAGCAAAGCCAGATACTATCTGTTCATCAGGAGGAAAAGACACATGTTTTCTCTCAGTGCGTCTTTTTTTCTGCTTATTCTTCTGTTTTTCGCCTCCATCGTCACTCTGCTCAACATTCTCGTTGTCACTGCAGTGGGTCATCCCGTGTTTTAACCTTACAAAATCTCAGAAGGAACAAACGGTGTTTCAACAACCTCTGTCGTCTCGTGGAGGTCTCATAGCAAAGTCTACGAAACAAATCCTCCTTTAAGTGGATGAAGTAATGTGTGCGACAGGTTCAAGCACCAAACCTCTAGTCGTGAAGTGCAGCTTTCGCCATGACGCCACAGAAACGATATCTTATTCATGAGTTTCTGTCCTTTGTTTTAAGTGAAACTCGATATGTTTGTATCCAGTTATGCATCTGCTGCAGGTATATGGTCCTGCAACTGATGCTCAATCGTAGCTGTTGCTCTTCGAAAACACATCCAAGTGGTAAATGTTTTGATCTTACATTTTTGAAGGCACAACATATATGATGAATTTACATATATGACTGAATTTCTAAAGATAAAATCATTAAATTGGCACATTTGATTTTTACTTACATTAGTTAGTTTAAATTGTATACTAAATTAGTTTCCCTCAGGATTTCAACAACAACAACAGCAGCAATAACAATAGTAACACTAGAGAGGATAAGAAGGATATATCACTGGTGAATGAATATGTATGTATGTATTGTTGTCTTTACGTTTGTATTTTCACCTGGATCCAGCAATATGGTTCCCAAACGTTTTTGACTTGTGACCCCATTTCCACATCACATATTTCTGGCAACCCCAAAAACGTTTCTTTTTTCTTCTAGAATTAGTTTTTGGTCATGTGTGTTATACTGTGTTGCAAATACAGAGATCATTTAAAAAAATAAAAATAATTAGTTGAATTGATGATGATATAGAATAGACTGCAGTAGATAAGCTAAATTCCTTGTGTTTTAATAATGACTCCAGACCATGATACATGCACAGTATATTCACCAACATGGTTGGATAGTAGGAGCATGGTTGAGCACAACATATATGCCACTAAAATATATAATATGTTGTACAGTATTTTATTTACTGTAATTATAGATATTTATTGTGTTTTTTATAAATATAAAACATTTTATGGAACAGATTTTAAATTCACAAACATAGCATATATTTCAATGCTTTATATGTACAGTACGAATATTCAATATAATATCAGCATAAGTACTGATCTCATTCTATTGGAACGATATATTTAAAAGATTTAAAAGCATAAAAACACATTCTTTCTATTTAATAATGTTTTACCGTGAAATTTAAAACATTATTTAACGTAAGCGTTAATTCTTCCTTTATTTAAAAAAAAAAACCCAAAAAACTCCTCCGTGATATGACGCAACATAGCGGACCAATAGCATACCAAGTAGTTGCGACGACATTTCCTCAACGTTTGTTTGCGGGAAGTTTGGTCATCGTACTCTGTAACGCGCCGTTAACGTTTTCAACAGAAAGGTAAGCATTTCTGAGCGTATGAAACTTGTTAGAATTTGCTTTCGGTGATATACTTTTATCAAACTCTAGCGAACGCAGGAGCTAAAGCTAGTTGCATACAGGAAGTGGACTGCGTTGTTAGCTTGATAGCTAACCAATGTTCTGTTAAAACATGAAACGACAACTTCCTTACCCAGCAAACGTAGCGTCAGTTCGTCATTAATATTGAACCATGATTAAAACAAATTGACATGACAATCTACATCTAGCGACATATAGCATTATGAATAAATTATCGTAATTTTCCAAAAACGTCCTTATTTGTATTGACACAAAGATTTCATTATATTTTTCCGCTCAAAATGATCTCATGACGTCTGGGTGTTAAAAAACAAACACCGTGAAATTAGAGAAAAAAGAATCATTGACTAAATTAGTACACTGCGTAGCAGCATATTCTGCTGCAGAATAATAGTTGTTTATATATGAAATCCAAACAGGTGGACACAGCCAGAAATACAAAGGCTATCACGAAAAGTTGTAAAACAAAACATTTGCCATTTTTGATGTATCTGCTGGGACTTATGAGACGATCTTGCATATAATTTAGAGTAAAAGGTACATTTTAAGTTTCTTCTCCAAATGGATCACTCCACGCAAGAACATCTGTCTTCCTACAACCTGTTTAGCAAGATGTAAACAAGTAAAATGAAGACCCATTTGCCATCTAGTAGTGTGACCAAAGCAGAAAATCAATTAGTACCTCAAAATATTTGTACTTTTTTTTCACCTGCAGCCAGAACATAAAATAAATAATATCCTGTTATATCCATAGAGCCATCTATTGTATACCTCAATACAGTATTTTAAAACAAGAGAAAAAAACTAAATAATACATAAAGGCTAGGATATGTTATTGCAATTTATGTGACCTGAGTAAGTATTGTACAATATACTTCAAACTAAGTTGCATGTACTTGTATGTACATTTTTGCTTACAGTACTCAAAACAGGGTTGCTAGTGGCTGTGATTCAATAATTTATGTTTTGACTACTGGTGTAGGGCAGGTGTGTCCCCGCTCCAAGACTACTGGTGTAGGGCAGGTGTGTCCCTGCTCCAATGGCTTGGGAGCTATTATTCAAATGACCAGGCTAATGTGATCAACCTTCATTCAAGACATTAAAAATATATTTACTCATACTTAAACTGAACATATATTTTTTATTTATATAAACAAGATATGTTGAAGTACATAGTGTGTGGCAATTAGCCATATGGGAGAATATGTTTTAATCCTTATGGTATATGGTCACTACTACACACTATGGAATTTTATTTATATTTAATGTATTTATCTGAATTTCTGATGATCTACTAGCACTCCCTCTGCAGTCTACTAGTAGATTCCAGTCTACTTATTGGGCACCCCTGATGTAGGCTATAAAAAACTTCTAATAGCTACGTATGATTGTGTTTTTTTTCAGATGGGCCCCAAAGCCAAGGTGGCAGGGAAGGCAAGAGCTCCAGCTAAAAGGAAATTGGCCGAGGAGTTCCCATCTGGAGAAGTCTTGACTGACACTGTAAAAAAGAGCTGGAAACTGGGGGCTCCAATTGGAAAAGGAGGCTTTGGTCTCATATACTTAGGTGAGCAGTGTTGACCTAATTCAAAACAATAACAGTTCATTTAACTAAATAAAGTTAGTTCAAGCTTTAAGTGTTCATTATAAATAATCTTTATTATTAACGTTTTTCAACATCAGTCAAAGAACAAAAAAATATGTTGGCAGTTTTGCAAATGCTCTGTTTATCCAACTCCCTGGGTAAACAACAAACATGGGAGCACTTGTTTGTTGTATATCTGTATATCCCCTCGTATAAAAGCTGAAATGCTGCATATCATCAGCTATTTGAACTTGTGGCTATAGCGAATGTTACAGTTCTTGAGCTGTGAGGCACTCATTGACCAGTTCTAAGGATTAATGAATCCACATCATGTAGTGATGCATGTTTATATAATATCTCATGACTTCATTGGTTTAACTGAGCCTGTTGTTGACATTGTAGATGACAAAATATTAGGATTTCATAAAATTGACTTATCGTTCAAAAGTGAATCGTTATGCATTGAAAAAAAATAGATTGTTCTCCAACCCTTATATGATGGAACAGTGGAAGACTCCCACTGGTGTGATGTGACCAGTAATTGCTTCGTCAAAAGGCTGATCACACGTCTGTGGAAATTTGATGTTCAGTAGTCAAGCTGTGATGTAATATAACCTACCACTGGATTTGAAAACATAATGATGCAGGTATAATGAGATTCTATTTTTGAGTAATTTTAAAGCCACATGAAATGTGTGTGTGTGTGTGTGTATACTCAGTAACAGGAAGTGCTTTTGTAATAAACAGAAAATTTGAGAACATCGAGTAGAAAAACAACACTTCTCATATGTCCTTTGCCTTTTTCAGATAATTGTCTAAGATTTAGAAATTACCTTAAAGTCATTTACTCACTTACTCGTTATATGGGTTAAAATTCACTGAGTCTTAAACTTCTATCCCTAATGGTTGTGTCAGGAAGAGCAACTGCCGTACAAACAGTGCTAATCATATTGCAGGTCACCACTCACTCAGAATTATTACTAACATGTTTTTTCTTCTTTTTCCTCACTTTTGTAGCGAATGAAAATTCGGCTAATGCTGTTGGTGCTGATGCTCGTTATGTCATCAAAGTGGTAAGACCTTTATTTTAATTTTTCTTTTACTTTTACAGTTGTACAGCCTACATTGTAAATATGGCAAAGTCTTTCTGTAGATATTACTTTACAGTTTTAAACAGACATAAATCAATACAATATTCTATTTAGTACAAAGCAAAATAGAACATTCCAGGCATCTAATTGGTCAATCAGTCTGGTTCTTCACAACTCGAAAAACACATTTTTCCACTGCTTTAACATTTGGCTGACCCACTGACTCTGTGCTGTTAACTTAATGTACAAAAGATACACGTTTGTTTTTTGTGGATTAATTTGACACCAGAGTTTTGAAAGTAAGTGGCATAAAGAGTGGATTTAGAATTCTGCACATCAGAAAAAGAAGAGAAGAGAAGAGAGAACAGGAGCAGATAATCAATACTTCAGTTCAAACCACCAGAGTTGTAGGAACAACTCTTTCAGTAAGGTTAGATGTTAGATGTAAACAGTAGGTATGCCTGGTAAGATTTAATTAATTATAAGACTATGAATAATGACAACAGTGTTAGGTCTGGATCAGGTCCTGCTGTTCTGAAAATACAGGAACTTGAGAGTTGAAGAGAGTGACTGAGGAGAGCAATATCCCGAAACCAGTCGAGGAGAAGACAAGCTTATTATCATAACACTGATTAATGTTTTAATGAATATTTGTAGAGTGGAGAAAGAGAGAGAGAGAGAGAGAGTGCTCAGTGTACCATGAATAAGTCGGTTGTTGCAACATTATATTTCCACTAACCAGGTGTTTTGTCCACAGGAGCCCAGTGAAAATGGACCTCTGTTCTCAGAGCTTAAGTTTTACATGAGAGCTGCAAAGCCGGAGCTAAGTAAGATGCACGCGTGCGCAATCACATACGCACGCACACAAAAATCTAAAAAAAAATACAAGCTATCTTGATTAAAAAACAATATTTAGAAGCAAAGGTATGGGGGCATGTGAAGAATTAAAGTTTTTGGCACTGTTGGCGCCCAAGGCCAAATATTTGCATTTTTACAATAACAATCTTAATGTCGATCTCCCCTGACGATCTTCTATTACCAAGAAACTAAAGGACCCTTAATCATATTCATGCTTAAATCTGATGTTGTTGGTAAATATTTTTCCCAGCAGCAACACACACAAACACACGTTCTAACTAAAAGAGTGCACAGACCGGAATATAGCTACCTTCTTCCTCTGCATGTACTGTATCTAAATAGCTTTGAGGCTAACAAAGAAGAGGGCTGTCTATAGTAGGGCAATTTATTAGCTTGGCCCTTTAGGTAAATATTTAAAGTCTATATCCTAGCTGTTCCAGATGTTGTGCCTGGAGTCCATGCTCCTAAGTTACCCCATCTAGGGTTAACAGTCCACAGTGTTTCAGTCAGGACTGGCACCACTTTCACACTCACCAACTTTTCTCTATCATCAGTAGTCCTAGGCCTCTCGAATGAGTGCACTCATACTAGGGCCATCGTACGGTGCCCAAGCACATTTGCTCCCTAAAGTCCGGTCTCTATGGCCCATGTGAGTGCAAGTGTACTGTGCCTGGGTGCGGCACACTTCCCTGTTACAGCGCAGTTGGAGGAGGTGGGCTAAAGCATAGTACGCTTCATCACACATGCTCATAAGTGCAGTTACGTACGTCTCCTGCAGGGTGCAGCACAGGTGCCTGCAAATCGCCTTGTGCAGACAATAAATTATAACATTGGCGAGGGCCGACTATTTTGAAGATGGTTCACAGAGAACAGGACAGTCATTGCGGCCGTGTTGTTGGATACACTCATGATCGCACTGCTTTAACCGCGTATAAACAACAGTCACTAATGTTCAGGCCAAAGGAGGAAAGGGGAGGAGGGCATTCGTGCTTCAGAAAACAACTGGCCCTAGTTTGAGTGCAGCCTTATACAGCCTTCTATGGCTGTAGTCTGAGGATACAGTCGGCAGCATCTGATTAATTTAGCTGTATATGAGACATCTCCCTCAACTGCAGACTTGTTCAATTGGTTTTGAGTTGGCATCCATGTTGTGTGTTGTCCATCTGTGAAGGTTGTCAGGAGATTTTTATCCAAAAATAATATTGGACTAGCTTAGTTTTTTTTTTTAAAGTTTTACCTCTCCTCCAAGGTGATTCTTCTGTTCTGACTAGTAGAAAATCCTTGTATTTAGCCTTGAGCTTGACACCTGTCAATATGGTTGATATGGTAAACCTTATTACTTTTTTTTTGAAGTTCAAAATTGGATGAAGTCACGCAAACTGAAAAATCTGGGAGTCCCAAGGTACTGGGGATCAGGTCTGCATGAAAAAGGTGGGAAGAGGTAAGAAACAAATGTCTGCAAAGCACTCACCTAGAACAAAGAATATAATGCTCTTAATAAAAGATAATAAAATAGTTCAGAGGTTTGCTCTGCTTTGCCATATTTGTATTTAAACTTCCCATATTGTATTAAACATTTTATTTTTCTGCCTTTCAGGTATAGGTTCATGGTAATTGACAGACTTGGCACAGACCTGCAAAAGAAGTTCGAAGAATGCGGAAAGAAGTTCTCCAGAAAAGTTGTTCTGCAGCTCGGCCTTCGTCTGGTTTGTTTTTGACTATTAAATATTTAAATTCTACATGAGCTTTTCCACTGTATTTTGTTTCAGTGTGGTACAAGGCACTTGAACGGATAAGAGGTGTAGAGTCATTTGGTTCTCAGTTAATTAATTTCCAGACTAGTCTGCATAAGAATAGATTAGGAATTAGAGTTCATTATTATATGGAGAAAAATGACGTCATTATTGCCACACATTAGAAGGTCAGTTTTGTACTGTTTAATGTAAGTTGAAGCAATCTTAGTCTTTCTTTTGTATATATTTCTTTCTTGTTTAGCTGGATATCTTGGAGTACATCCATGACCATGAGTATGTTCACGCGGACATTAAAGCATCCAACCTCATGTTGAGCCAGGGCGATCCCAATCTGGTAAGTAACATTTACAGCCAAATTATATAGTTTATACTGTATATGTATTGAAAAAAAGATGGAGTCTTTCTGTTCTTAAAAAACCCACACTTTAATGCACTGATTGTAGCAGATGTCACAGCAGTTTGAATAAAACATTTCTTTACTTGTTTATTTCATCCAATAATTCTATTGGATGATTCTATGGCTAGTGTGAGTGAAAATGTACTATATTTTGTGTGTCTGTTTACATTTATACGTGCTTAACTATTGTGTTTCTATTGGGCTGTAATCCTACTGGTTTGTTAAGTCACTGTTTTTCCACCCTACAGGTTTATTTAGTAGATTATGGGCTGGCATACAGGTTCTCACCTGATGGTGTCCACAAAGAGTACAAGGAGGACCCCAAAAGGTGCCATGATGGAACCATCGAGCTTACGAGCATCGATGCCCATAAAGGAGCATGTGTGTAGTTTTATTAATTTTACTCTCACTGAAGTCATGAAAATTCTAATGATGTTATTCTTTCAAATAATTTCATGAAGATATTTAACAGCAACTAAATAAAGGTATTATTCCCAGTTATATATGTCTAACTGATTTTAGCTTATTTTTTTCAGTAAAATTGTAATGTAAATAAAATGTTTATTTTAGAGAAAAGCTGTAACAAACCAAGATGATGATGTTCTTCCCAAGTTCTGCAAATATTTGGACAGTTACAAAATGCTGACAGTGATTGCTTATTTTTGTTCACTTGGATCCTTATTCCAGCTCCATGTAGAAGGAGTGATCTGGAGATCCTGTGTTACTGTATGGTTCAGTGGTTGTGTGGCCGACTGCCATGGGAGGACAAGCTTCAGGACCCCCTCTATGTAAGAGACTCTAAGATCAAGTAAGTGAGAAACACACACACACCACTCAGTCACCGTCAGTCGGTCTGTGTGTGACTCCTGTAGTAGAAGAACCATTGATCTGTTTCATGTCGATATATATTTTAAAGGCTAATTTGGATCATTTTGTGCAAACACTGCTTTTTCTTTTTATGTATATTAAGTATTTATCCACTAAAATAAGTAAATATGCTCCAATGTGCTTCTACCCTACAGCTGTCAGGAAAACATCTCCCAGTTTATGATCAAGTGCTTCTCCACTCAGAACAAACCAGGTGAGACACACACACACTCACACACACATTTGTAGTTATTTTGTCATTTCCCGCAGCTAGGTTTTTTTGACACATTATTCTTTGTTAAAGTTACTAAATGACTGCCTAAATTAGTGCTCTTATTTTATACCAATTTTAAAAGCCATTATTCAGACACAGAGGCTCAGTTTTTCTCCTTCCTTACTTCACTGTACAGTGAGCACAGTCCTGGTTGTTTCATTTCATTTTGTGTGTCTTTGACATGCTACAATCACACAAATGTAAAAGGCGTGCAGATTCACAGCAATTAAAACGATGTCATTCTTCTTCTAGTGACTACTTCCATTTATCTCCATTGTGACCTATTTATTTTGTTGTTATTGCGAGGCCTCTTTATTCGTGTCAAGAATTGTCAGCCTGGGCTGTAAATGGCTACTTTAGCATCATGTGTTTGCAATGTTGTCATTTTGACCTGCAGGCTGTTGGTTGGATTAGGCAGAAGAGAAAAACATAAAGCGTCAAACCTCCTTCGTTTTGCTCTGTTGAACACCACAAGTACACTGTTTGAAGCTCCATCGGTGCTTGGGTTTGTGACAGTGTGTCAAGTCTGAACACAGTCATGCTAAACAGAATTAAGCCTGACGCTGCTATAATGGCTGAGCAGAATTCTAGAATGTATGTTTCTGTCGTATGTTAATGAACATTATTAGGTGAAAGTGATTTATTTGTCATTTGTTTCCAGTCCATGATCACATTTTTATTTTAAAACTATCTGGCAAAGTGCTTATTAGGGAAGGCTTAATACAACTTTTTCATGTCTGATACCAATACTGCAACTCTGAGTATCTATTAATAGCCATATCAATCAGATACCTCCTTTACTCCTCCAGCAGCCACGGGCTGTCGTTGCTGAGATGATGGTGTCTCTGGAGCATTTCGTTAAGTTGAGCATGAAACCGAAGTCATCAAGAGCAGACAAGCTCAGTAAAACAAGTTTCAGCAAACTCATTCACATTGGATATGAACACCAACCATTTCTTTGTAACTCCATGGGTGATTACTTGTTGTAATTTGATTAGGATCTGTTATTATTATTTATTAATATGTTAAAAACAGGGAAATGTATGTGTGTGAGCGTCCAATCAGGATAATCACATTATACTATGTAAAATGATCTTAATCTTGTAGAACGCTCCTCGTTGTACAATGACCTCTGTTTTGTGTCATTTTTTTTGTGGAGTCACAGATGAAATCCAGAAATTCATGGAAGTGGTTAAATCTATTGGATACCAAGACAGACCACCCTACGATCGGCTCCGCTCCATTCTTCAGACTGGACTTAAAAGCATTCAGAGCAAAGACGATGGAAAACTGGAGTTCACTCCCGTCAATGGAACTCTGTCGTCACCTGTCAAGGTCAGTAGAGACACACACACTGAGAACTTTTGGGATGTGAGGACACTGCATATTATGACAATATGTACTGTATGTATAGGGGGTCCTCGACCTACGTCGGAGTTCTGTCCCTCCAGTGCGATGGAACTAGATTTTTGCCCTTAGTCGTCACTCACATACTGTTTACAAATCCTAACCTACAGATAGGTAAAAAAAAAAAAACATCACTTTTACTGCTAACACCATGTGTGGTTTTCATTTTATCTATTAACTGTTTACGTTTTGCCAGTTCAAAAGGTCGGTGCATGGTTGCGTCTTCATGCTACACACAGAGGTTTACTATTTAAAAGGTTTTACTCTCTCTGTGGTTATGTTTCATTGCAGTATCACATTGAAGTGTAAATATAGTTGATTCCAGTACTGCAGTAATACTAAAAGCACGAAGACTTGGTTGGTTTGGTTTTTCAGACAAAGGCATTGATGTCATCCTGTTAGCGTAACATCTAAATCTGACTTCTTATTAGATCAGTCAACTGAATGGCCCATTGAAAAATATCACAGGATGATTATTATATAATGGAACAGGATAAAACCCCGGCTGCTGTTTTTATTTGCTAACATCTTTTCTCTTTTCCTCCCTCCTTACCTGCTCTGCTCTCTTGCTCTCTGACCATATGGGAGATGTCACTGGGGAGGTGGCATTGCCAGACAAAGGGTTACAAGTCCTGGTGCTGGTTATTGTATGTAATTATCCTTCCAATCTGTTCATTTCAGCAGGCACCACATGGTCAACATGAGGTAGCAATTGCCAGAATGAAGGCATTAATGGTTTGGAGAGCGGGAGGTGAGGGATAGTTTAGAGTGAGAGGAGAGTCAGGGAGGTGAAGTGGACATGTGGGAGACATGGTTGACTTTGTTAGGTTCACATTCACACGTTCTCTCCGCTTTTTTACACAACCAAGTGTAAGTCAGGTCTCTTTAGAAATAGTGTTTTATTTATTTGCAAGTCAATCTATGTAACACTAAACTTTCTATCTTTTAGAAAGATTTGTTCTTTATTACTTTAGCTTGTTTTAATGCTCAATTTTTGTTTCCCTGCTTTAACCTTCGTACAGCGCCTTGGTCAACTGAGGTCGCTTAAAATCTGCTGTATGAATCAACTCTGTGTGTATTGTCTGTCTTTAACACAAAGTGTCCCCCTATGTTTACATCTTGGGAGTGCATTAGTGAACACGTTTCATACCTGTGGATGATGGTGTCCACGGTGGATTCATAAGTACAAATGGACTTAATCCTGTCTTTAACTCAACCTTTTTCTGCTGAAACACACATGTCCAGTACAGATGCACGACTGCAAATCTGTGATTCTTGTTTCTTACTTTGATTCTAAGGTTGTTTTTTTTCTTTCAGAAGACGACCAGGAAGAGAAAAGCAGATGAGACAAGTGTGGCAGATGCTAGTGAAGCAAAGACAAAGAAAGAAGGTGAAATGACAAACTCCAAAGGCATTTTTTCATTTTCTCAGCTGTCTGTCATTAGTTGTAAAATACCTATATAGTCACGTATTACAGTACAGTACAATACAGAGTATTCAAGTACCATGTGGTAGCTTCAGTCTCATACTTTCTCTCCTGCAGATGTAAACGGTGCAAAAAGTCCTGCTAAGTCACCTAGAAAAAAGAAAGTGCCGGCATCCCGCCAGACGAGAGTGGGAACTCTGAGAAGCCCGGGAGCGACCGGCAGACCAAGAGGACGACCAAAGAAAACCCAAGCATAAACTTTCACTTATGTTTGAATTCCTAAACTCTCTGCCTCCTACTGAAGAAAGTTTTTTTTTTTTAGGGTCTGATATATATTTCTTTTTAGCAGTTCTAAACATGGAGCTCTTATTCTGTTCAGTTGAAATCTGAACCATTATAATAAAGAATTTAAATACTTTGTCTTTGACTTAAAGGTCAAGCGTCGGAAAAAGTTAATGTTTAAAAAAAAATTAAGAGATTTGTGAGATTTATGAATTCGCTACAAGAAACCCAGGGGAGCGTTTAACTACTGAGAAGCTGCTGACAAGCTGTCCCATGTCAACCATCCTGGTCTAACCTCTTGCACCGCCCTTGATAACCCTCCCCCCCACACCACACACACACACTTTTCTGCTAATTAAGTCACAACAGACTGCTTTGGTTAGTACTTCTGTCTTTCTCTACAGAGACAAGAATATTCACCAACCAATTTAGGTTGTTAGGCCCCTGGGAGCCTTCACTGCAGCGGGGGATTTCACATCAGCTGCTCCAGCCTCTGTGCATGGAAACCCTACCTTTCTTTTCCGCTCACTTAACAGACAATGCCACCGTGACCTTGTGGTAGTGGTCCTCCAGAAGGGGCAGTGTGTGGGGTTAGAATATGGGAGGAAACTGGAGTACCCAAAGAAAACCCCCCACGTAAAAAAAAACATACAGAAACTGTTTTCACAGGAATGATTTGGCCAGCGTGGTGGACAAATATGACATCACAAGGTGAAGGCCGCTTTGTTTACAGTCGCTGGTTGTACATTAGACTTCATTGACTTCCATTTGTTTGTTGTTTGATTGTGATGTTAGATGGCTAGCTCCTGTTAGCATCCAGCCATCTGCCTTTCCTGCTAGCCTTGAACAGTTTGCCCTGCCTGTACGCTTCCAGTTACTGATTTTGACTGATAGTATTTGGCTACCCATGCTACCTGTTAACTCTGGTCTTCTTCTCCTCTCTCTCATCTGCTACCTGACTCTTTGCCTCCTATTGGGGCAGCAGACTCCCAGTCCGTTGTGACTCTATCGCTCTTTTCTGTTGTCGGTAGCCTGACTCTGTCCCTCTGCTCCAGCCCTGGACACCTCCCCCCCCTCTCTATCACCTGACTGCAGCTGAATCTCTCTCTCTTCTGTCTCCTCTCTGCTGGCCAGTTAGGTTACGCTACAAGGTTACCTAACTTTGACCTTTTTTTTTTTTCACAAATTTTAATCATTAGCCAAACCGTTGGGGTTGGGGTGTCGGAGGTTCTTGTCCACTATTTCAAGAAAAATTAGAAAGAAAACAAACAACTCAAGAATACTTGTATAACTTCCACAAATAGGACTTTTTGAAAAATGGTTCCATCAATTAATATGCTCATTAACTAATAACAGTAGACTCCATTTGCGTTGCACTGCAACTTAGCAGCGTGTCCACACATTTCCAAGTTACTGCTGCGTCCTCCTGTCAAACAAGGAGAGTTAGTGAAAAATTAAATATGTGTATATTTTATAATAATCTGTTATTGCCTATTTTAGAACTGCAGGTAGCGGCATTCTCAACATTCTGTCACACGTTCTCCTGCTGGGACAATAAATGCCTGTCCAGTTTTGCTCACAGTGGCAGCTGCAGATTACAAACAGCAGGAGCGCCCGCACTCTGAATACGAGGCTGCGAAGGACACTGCTGGAGCTGTTAGAATGGTGCTGCTCGTTCAGAAAACCTGCTGCTTTTATTATTTACATACATCAAGAATGGTAAATATCCTGCAATCTACTCACATAAAATTTGCAGTTTGGAATATTAAGTTTATTTTCTGCCTAACCCGTAACAACAGATCTGTCTGGGTAAACAGAAAAGACTCACACGGACACTGACAGAGTCGATCGTCACAACAGAAAACAAATACATGTCCAGGCACTAAAGACCAGGAAAGTGGGTGTTATTATATATCAAAAAAAACAAAAAACAAACAGTTTACTAATCCAAGTTTGCACGTTTTTCATTTCATTTTTATACAAACACGACATAGTCTGCTCTGACTGTGGTCAAATGTAACTTAGGTCTCCTCCCTTCATCCCTTGGACAAAGGTGAGACGGGAGGTAACAGAAACCAAAGCCAGATACTTTATCTCACAGAATCTTATAAAAAAAAGTTTTTAAAAATAAACTAAGTCCAACCAAAGAAAAAAACTCACAAAGGAGGACGAGACATCAATCCATTAACTTGACAGTAACTCATCAGTCCCCATTAAACTGGCAGACAAAGACAGTAGGGATTACATTCACAAAGCACTCCGCCAACTTAAGAATCCAACTTCATATCAATATTTCCAGAAACATGACAACTTTTTGGAAAACCTCAAAATAGGAAAATCCTAATCGAAAAACAAACAGCCCATCTAACAGGAGACGGAGACCCCGTCCCAGACGACCTCTGTCCAAGTGCCACATATTCCACCCACATTAAAACATAGAGACACAAAGAGGAAAACATCATTTAAATACATTTTAAAAAAACTAAAATATTTCATTTCTTTAACAATACGCAGATAAGGGAGGTGAAGGGACAAAATATTTCATTTCTTTAACAATACGCGGATAAGGGAGGTGAAGATCAACTGGATCAGGTCGTGGTGACAAAGAGACCTTTCTACGCATATCATCAGATCCCTGCTTTAATCCTCTGACTCCCTTATCCCCTCCAAACACTCCCCCTTCCACTGTGGCCTCAGGCCTCATAAAACTGAACTAATTGCTGTGTTACCAGGAGTCCTATTGATTTTTAACAAAGAAGTTATAACCCTCCTTAGCATCGAGTAGGACAGCCGTAAGAGACGTGTGTCCTCGGCTCTCCCTTCACACCCGCGGGGACCGGCAGGATTAATGACTACTGTGTATATTCTCCAGCACATCTCAATGTTTCAGTCTTTGTTTGTCAAAAAGATGAACCAGGAGCAGCAACTGTTCATAATCCACAACTGTAGCTACCTTATTAGTCTGTGTAATTTGGCTTTTTGATTTTGTTTTTCATATTAATTTTGTCCCTCACCTGCTGCTGGGGTTTAAACACGTTTTTGTTTCTTCTTTGTTCTCTGTCCTTGTTCTTTTTCACAGCAGTGAGACTCAGTCTAACAATGATGTTTTACTTTCACTTGTCATTTATGTCGTTTACTTTTCACTTCAGCTCTCCGGTTGATCCAATAGATGACAGCTGCTGAAAGAGCAATGCAGTGTTTATTTGTAAAATCACACTCTAGATCTCACCAGTTCATCTTCTCAGGGAGAAGGACAAACTTTTGTCAGATGACACTAGGAAGGTGAAAAGACAGGATCACGGTTTGACAAAGAGAATGTTTG